CAAATCCGTCGAAAATTGCGGCCGTGCTGTATCATTCGTTACACACACACACACACATCCTGCCTTATATATATATATATATATATATATATATATATATATACAAATATATTTATATTTTCAAACAAAATTTTGTTTGTTTTTGATTTTGTCTTTATATATCAAAACACAAACAAAATTTAAAACATAAATTTTTTTATCCATCTTTTACACATATATATATATATATATATATATATATATATATATATATATATATATATATATATATGCGATGGTTAAATTTTTGTTTGTTTTTTATTTTGTCGACTGTACAGTATAGTAGGGTCAGTTGGGCACCTTCTATGAGCAAAAGAGCTCCATTTTTCTATTATTTACTACACCAGAATTTGTGAAACGCCATGCTGTACTGTTTGGCATTCGCGACGGAAGCTCCAATACGAACATTTCAGAGTGTCTAGGCGTCAATCTGAGGACAGTGCAGAGGTTTCGCAACGAGTTTGATGAGTCTAATGATGATTACGAAGGTGTTTGGTGTGATCATTAGTGATGGTAATTTTATTTGATCTATTCATGTTCGTTAAGGAGGACTTTTAGGGGAGTACTGCTCTTTTGAAAATATATAAATGGTTGCTGGTAGGCTCTATGTCTGGCAACAGAAATCTGGCCCATGTCACACCAGCAGGAGAACCCAATGATGGATATCAGACAATTTTCTACGACCACATGACCCCTTACATCTGGCCACCTAACTCCCCAGACTCCAACTCCTTGATTATTTTATGTGGGGCTCAGTTGAGCAAAAGACTAACAAAACTCCTTGTAACACTAAAGACGAACCGAAGGAAAGAATTATGGCAACATTCACCAACTTAAACAAGAAGATCGTCCAGATGAGCTGCAGGAGATTCCGAAGTGGTCTAGAGGCCTTAGTTGAAGTCAGTGGTGATTTTATTGAATAAATTTACTCTTTAATATTTCAAGATATTTTTGTGTAATTTGGGTAAATATATCTGTTAAAACGAGATGTCAGAAAAAATAGAAAAAAATATACTTCTATATATAAATTAAAGTAGTTTTTCTCTGGACTTATCAATGCAAATACATTTACTAAAATGAATAAATACTTATTAATGCAAATACATTTACTAAAATATATATATATATATATATATATATATATATATATATATATATAAAGTATAGGATTGGTGTCTACGGAATAAATTCCAATAACCAACAAATAATATTCTTAAAAATATAGTGCTCAATACAGAGTAGAGCAAATATAATTATTTATTCGAAAATTATAACATAAATATGTTATAAAATCACTAAAAAAATAGCCATTTTGTTTCAACACTTCTGGTGTCTTATCAAGTGATGGTGTTGAATGTAGAATAAACTTTTAAAGGTACATTCAACAAGCATCAACATTTATATATATATATATTATATATATATATATATATATATATATATTTTGGCCAATCATTTAGCTATTTGAACGGTAAAAAAATATGATGTCCCGTTAAACAGACAAATCAATCATTGATGTAAGAACTCGAGTTTTGTTCCTCGTCTGATCGAGATTTTCATAAATGCTATTGATCTAGGGCAAAAACCTGTCCAATAATATGTAAAAAAATCAAAAAATTACAACAATTTTTCACAGATCGATCATTAAAAATGGCTTCCAGCGAATGAAGTCTAATTCTGAGAGAGGATTATCCCTTTTCGAACCTTGTCGACTGGCGCTAAAGAATCACAAAGAACTGTACCAAATAACAGAAACCACATCACTTGAGAACTTTCAACAGCAGTAACAACTATTGGATAATTTCTATTCTATAACTAGAAGATAAAAAAATAAATGCATAAAAAATTTGTTGATGTTCCACACTACTCCGAACAAAAGTTTAGGAAGGAAAGCCCCATCAGTACTGTAAAGAGCGATAACAGCTACTGGACTTGAGAAACCTATTTTCCTGAACAATTGTTTTAAGAGAAAAACTTATAAATTTCAACAGATATCAATACTGGCTGCTCGGTCAATGTATACCAAATATTTCCTTATAGGGAAACGGCTAATATTACCATTAGGATTACCATACATACTGGAGTTACCAGTTAGTTATTTAAACTCGAAACCTATCTTTTTCAGCTATATACAACCGCATTCTAAGATCAATGTTGAAAAAAGCCTTGAGCGAGTAAAGCCTGAGGGTTTTGGCAAAGATCATCCTTGTTTGAACATTGTAGACTGGCGCTACAGAATCCCAAACAAATAGCTATTGAAATAAAACTTTCTTCTTGATGATAAAAAAGAACAGTAGCAAAAAATTAAAATGGATAAATATTTAACTCGAAGAGGAAATAATGATATAAGATATTGACGTTCCACACGACATCAAACAAAAGGTTGGGAAGGAAACCTCCATCGGTACTGGAAAGAGCAATAACAGCTACTGCACTTAAAAAACCTTTCTTTTTTCTTTTT